GGGCGGAGGGGGTACTGGGCGCGGTTGGGGAGGCCCCACTGGGGGGCGCTGGGGACCTCTGGGGAGCGCTGGGGAGGTCCCACTGGGGGGAGGAGGGGTGCGTCGCGAAAAATAAAATCGTCGGGGCGGAGGGGGCACTGGGCGTGGCTGGGGAGGCCCGACTGGGGTGCGCTGGGGACCACTGGGGGGCGCTGGGGAGGTCCCCTTTGGGGGGGGGAGGGGTGCGTCGCGAAAAATAAAATCGTCGGGGCGGAGGGGGCACTGGGCGCGGCTGGGGAAGCCCCACTGGGGGGCGCTGGGGACCACTGGGGAGCGCTGGGGAGGTCTGGGGGGGGAGGGGTGCGTCGCGAAAAATAAAGTCGTCGGGGCGGAGGGGGCACTGGGCGCGCAGGAGGCACTGGGCAGAGGTCCCACTGGGGGGCGCTGGGGACCACTGGGGGGCGCAGAGGTCCCACTGGGGGGCGCTGGGGACCACTGGGGGGCGCTGGGGAGGTCCCACTGGGGGGCGCTGTGGGCAGAGGTCCCACTGGGAGGCGCTGGGGACCACTGGGGAGCGCTGGGGAGCTCCCACTGGGGGGCGCTGTGGGCAGAGGTCCCACTGGGGGAGGGGTGCATCGCGAAAAATAAAACGGTCGGAGCTCTAGACACCCTGAGAATAAAGGCACACACACACACATCACAGGATTCCCTATATTTTCGCATATTTTCCGGATTTTCGTCTTCCCCCCCCCACACTTCCCATAGTTTCCCATATTTTCCTGCGAGTCGACGATTACTTGTGGCTGTGTGTTGTTTCCCCTCCTGAGTCTAGCTCTTCCTCTCAGGGGAGGCGAGTGGGGATCAGGAGAAGGAGGAAGAGAAGGAATTGAAAAAATGAAGACGGCCACACAGACGAGCCCGAGGAGAAACGCCGGGACTCAAGGCACACGCCTGCCGTCCGACATGTTGCAGCAACGAAGACTGCGGTAAGCATACACGTTTGGAGTTCCGCGTGGACCCCTCTGATTTTAGGGCGGGCATGTCCTCCTACAGGCGGATTCGACGAAAAGTCATACATGGTCGAAACATACCAAAGCAATGAACACGAATACTGGGAAAATCGTCCCCAGAGTATGAATTGACGAGTTTTGAATATTCCTCCTGTGGAGTGACGTGCCCGACTTAACTCTGATGGGCGCTGAGCCGGCGGGCTCCGCGCGCCAGAGGAGGCGTCGCAAGGGGGCGTCCAGCGCAGGCCCAAGAAGCCCCGAGCGGAATTCCGCACGTTCTCGCTGCAAGTCGCTCGGGCGTCCACTCCCCGTGCACTGCTCGGTGTCGCAGGTGTCCTGTTTTTTTTCCAGGAGGATCCCCGATGCGCCTCGATGGTCCCAGGGACAAGCAAAACGAGGCAAGCGCGCATCGTGTCTTGCAGTCGGGAGGCGCTCGAAGTATATTTGGGCCTGGGAGTCAAACAAATGAATACTTCCTCAACCTCCGACTTGGTGGCCATATGCGAGCCCCACCCCCACCCCCCACGATTTGGAAATGTTGCCTGGGGTTGGTTTGCCTTGCGGTTCCGTTTTTGAGCTACAAGAACGCCCATATCGAACAAAACATCGAACCGACCTGCCGTCCGGACCCCTTCCCCAGGCACCCTCGTAATCTTCGACTGCAATCAACCCGTATCACAAGGATTCATGATGAGGATGCAAGGGCCCTGGACGCCCATTTCGAAATTGTTCGAGCGGCGCGCGGCAAACGAAGATGGCCAAGGATGGACCGAGGATCGGGCTCGGCGAAAGGGGGGGGGGATAGCAAAGGGGGGGTTTGAGAATCAGTTCACGTAGCTGATTTTCCCGGCGCCTCCAGGCGCTGGAGGCGGCCATGTATCGAGGAATGGGCCCCTCGGTGGGGCCGAAACCAGCCACGTGCAGCAAATTTCGTACCCCCCCTTTTTTATCCCCACCCTTTCGTCCAGCCCGAGAGGAGGCGAGGATGCAAGGGGTACACGCTGGTCGTTGAAAGTAGGTATTTTTGTATTCCCAGATCCAAATCTACTTTCAGCGCCTTCCTACTCAAAGAATCGGCATGCTCTTGCTGTGTTTTGTTATTATCTGGGAGGACCTGGACCCAGTCTACTGTTTCCGCCTTCGGACGTCCATTCCCTGTTTTTTTTTCGGTGCCGTGCGTGTTTTTTTCGCCAATTGATCAAGGATGCTCCTCGATGGTCCTCGCCGAAGGAAAAATGCACACGTCCGAGCGATGCCAGGCTCGAGCGTCGAGCCTCGTGCCTCGATCTTGAACTCGTCTCGATCCCCCATCCTCGAACCTCCATTTTTTGGCCTCGATCCTCCCTCCTCGATCCTGCCTCCTCGATGGTCCATCCTCGATCCTCGACTCTTCTCGATCCCCATCCTCGATCCTCCATCTCCAGCCTCGACCTTGGACTCCTCTCGATCCTCCATCCCCGATCCTCGACTCCTCTTGGTCCTCTGTCCTCGATTCTTCGACCTGGAGCGCCGCGGCCAGCGGCCTTCCCAGAGCGTCCCGTTCCGGAACGCTCTCAGGGCATCAGAGAAGCTCAAGAAGGACCTGGACGGGATCTACCCTCGATTCTTGCTTCTTCGCTCTTGGATTCTCGATCCTTCGATCCTCGATTCCCGACTCTCTGATCCTGGATTCTTCAGACATGCGACGTCTTGCTTTTTTGCGAACGGAATGCCCAAACATTCCCGACCCTTCTACCTGGCCCGGTTTTCCTTCCTGGGTCGGGAATCTACAGACCCGGGTTAATCCAGACCCGGGTCAGTCGGGACCTGCAGGACACTGCACGATCCTGCTGGATCCTGCAGGCAGGCCCCTGCACCGGAAGCCCGGGTCAGTACACCCCTGGTCCTGAAGGATCCTGCAAGACTTGGCGCTCTGACTGCCCCCCGGTTGCATTGACCCCCGTCTCTTGAGCCCCGACTGGGTCGTTCCTCGACGGTCCCAGGGATCGGCGACGGCACCCCTGAGGCCGAAAACTGGGAACACCACCTGTCCTTGCGCGAAAATGTCTGGGTCTTCAAAGATCGAAGGTTGAGCAGGGACCGGCCGTCCCGGCAATCCAATAGGCCTACCACGACATGTTCTTAGAGCCAGAAAATGTTCAAATGACAGAAGCCACGTCCGCAGAACAGAAGCCCGATGCATTGAACACAAAGCAGTCTCAGCCAGAAATGTTCTACCAGCATGCCGTGCAGACCACACACCATGATTGGAGCATTCTGTGGTGGACCTATAGACAGGCCACCTGCCATCGCTCGGACGTCCATTCCCTGTGTTTTGTTCGGGTGCGTGCGTGGTTGTTTCGCCAAGTGATCGAGGATGCTCCTCGATGGTCCTCGCCAAAAGAAAAAAAAACACGTCCTAGCGATGCCAGGGCCAGGATGCTTCGCCACTGCTTGATCTTCGAGGATCGAAGAGGACCCTCGATCTCGATCCTCGACCCTCCGATCGACGGACCCTCGACCCTTCGATCCCTCGATCGCAAGATCGAGGACCGAAGGACCCTCGCTCCTTCTCGGGAGCGGCCAAGAGGGGGGTGTCCAAGAGGGGGGGGTGCAAATCATGACTGGCGGCACGTGCGCGGCCCAGCGGGGGAGCCGGGGACGTCGTGGAATAAGAAGGGGCGCCATGAAACATCTGGGGAAATGTCATGGCCCCCGTCATGATATCCACGCCCCCCTAGTCATCACCCCCCTCTTTTCCGCCCCCGACCTCATCCCCCCTCCGCGCGCCCACCCCTCCTTTTGGAGGCGGCCAGGGGGTCTGAACCTCCTCCTCCTCCTCCTCCTCCTCCTCCTCCTCCACCTCCTCCTCCTCCTCCTCCTCCTCCTCCTCCTCCTCCTCCTCCTCCTCCTCCTCCTCCCTCCTCCTCCTCCTCCTCCTCCTCCTCCTCCTCCTCCTCCCCCCCCCCAGTCATCCCCCCCCTCTTGTCCGCCCCCGCCGACCAGCCGAGCGCCGCCTCCCCGCCGGGCCCTCCGCACCGGCGGCCCGGCGCCGCCCGAAGAGGTCGCCGCCGGGCGGGCCCCGGCCGGGCGCGGCGGTGCGGGGCGCAGCCCTCGGCGCCGCGCCTCGCAGGGGGGGGGGGAGCCTCCTCCTCCTCCTCCTCCTCCTCCTCCTCTTCCTCCTCCTCTTTCTCCTCCTCCTCCTCCACCACCTCCTCCTCCTCTTCCTCCTCCTCATCCTCCTCCTCAGCCCCTTCCTCCGCATTCTCTTCCCCATCTTCCCCCTCTTCCTCCTCCTCATGCGTCTTCTCCTTCTGATCCTCCTCCGAACCTCCCCCTTTCTCCTCTTGCAGCGCCATGCGAAGATCCCTTCTGCGCATCGCCGCCTCGTGCGCCAGGGGGGCGCCGCGGTCGGGTGGCGTGGGGCCCCCAATGATCTGCGACATGTTTCCGCTTGTCCGTTTGAGAGGGAGGAGGAAGGGACAGAGAGTCCACCTGCCCATCGCACATCCCGAACATCGTTTGCGCAACTTGCGGTCATCGTAGCTCTGCCGGTGGCTCTCGTAGCTGCGCCTGTGGTTCTCGCAGCTCAGCTGCTGGCCCTCGTAGCATTGCAGGTGGATTTTGTGGCATCGCCTCTGGCTCTCGAAGCTCTGCTCGTGGCCCTCGCAGCACTGCAGTTGTCGCTGGTCGCTCACCTAAGTGGTCCTCCCAGCTCTGCCCGTGACCCTCCGAGATCAGCCGGTGACCCTCGTGACCCAGCCGACGGTCCTCGCGGCCCTGCGAGTGGCTCCGGTTCCCCGAGTCGCGGCAGTCGCAGCTCGGCCTGGGGCTCTCGCAGATCCGTTACGGTGGCTGTCGCGGCTCAGCACGTGGGCCTTGCTGCTCCTCCGGTGGCGCTCGTAGCTGTGCCTCTGGCCCTCGTAGCTCATCGCGTGGCCCTCGAGAAGGGATTGTTGGTGGCCCGGTTCGCTCTGCCGGCTGCTGTGAAAGCTGTGCTTCTTGCCCTCGCAGTTCAGGTTGTTGCCGTGGCGGCTGGGCAAACGGATCCGACTGGCGACCCTTGCGCAGATCTGAAGGAAGTGGGACAAACCGGGGCCAGTCTCGCAGGTCCTCGCCTGGAGGCCGCTGTAGCCCTGGCGGTCGTACTGGTCCCCGTCATGGGCGGCGTCGCCTTACTGGTCGCCGTACTGGTCGCAGCCATGGCGCAACTTCTGCACTGAAACTGCATCTGGGACCGCCACGCCGATAGACTGCATCTGCTGATCGACACGCGCATGGTGACCTCGTGTAGCAGTTCTCCCGTGCGTTCTCTCGTATAGCACCTAATCCTTATTCATCCACGGGTGTTCTCGTAGAACACCTCTTCTCTCGTTGTCGTACTTGGTGTCGCAACTACTTGCAGTATCAAGCCCTGTACTTGCTGTCGTGATTGGTGCCGTACTTGGTACCTGTTATAGCGGCCACCATGAAGGATATGTTACTCCACGTGGCGTTCAGGCAGGTCCGCACTCTGTTGCCAGTCCTGCGTGCCGCAGCTCGCAGCGGCCTCGGCCCCAGAGAGCCAGTCACATTCGTCTCGTAGACAAGTCTCTTCGTGCTCCTCCTGGCTGTTGGTGCCCGATGCGCCACCATCGCGCGGCGGCGACAAGCAGGCTAAGACCAGCCTTGCTACACTGGGGCCCAGAGTAAGAGAGATGGATCCCGCATAGAGCATTATTCCACCTACTCCTCCTCCTACTACTCCTCCTCCTCCTCCTCCTCCTCCTCCTCATCATCATGATCATCATCATTATCATCATCATTCTCATCATCTTCATCCTCCTCCTCTTCTTGTTGCTCTTCCTCGTGCGCCTCCTCCTGCTCCTGATCCTCCTCTCTTCCTCCTCCTGCTCCTCCTGCTCCTCCTCCTCTTTTAACTCCAACACGTCCTCCTCCTCCTCCTCCTCCTCCTCCTCCTCCTCCTCCTCTCCCTCATCTGAGTCCTCCTCCTACTCCTCATCCTCCTCCTCCCCTCCAACTTCCCCATCCCCCTCCTCCCCCTCCTCCTCCTACTCCTCCTCCTACTCCTCCTCCTCCTCCTCCTCCTCCTCCGCCTCCGCCTCCTCCTCCTCCCCATCCTCCCAGTGCAAGGTAAAGGCCTCGCCGCTGGGGTCGAAGCAGACGGGTCCTCAAGATTCGACGCATCACTGGCGCATCGGCGATGCTTCGGCGACGAAGGCAATGTATCAGCCACTTCACCGCCAGCGGGCACCCCATCGAGCCGCACCGCCCATGCCTCGGGAATGCGGCGCGGCCCTCGCACCATCTACTCTGGCCCTACCCTGGGGGGCCTGGAAGAGGGCAGTGGGGGCGGGGGGGGGGGCAGTGGGGGCTGGCAAGGGGGTTGTTGGAAGAGGAAGGGGGCGACGCGCCTCGCAGAGGAGGGGGGGGCGGGCACCAGGGGGGGGAGGTGGCGACGGGCCTCAATCGACAGCAGGGGCAGAAGGCAGGAAGGAAGGGGGGGGGGGGCAGGAGGGGCGGTCACAAACAGAGGTGGGTGACAGGAGGGGGGAGCAGTGGGGAGGAGGCACCTGCCCTCCACTGGGGAGGGCGTGTGGGGCATTTACGATCTCATCTCGGTTGCCTGATCTTGGCCTCCTCGTCCTCAGAGCCGCCGTCCGAGCCAGCATCGTCTGAATCGTTGTCGTAAGCCTGGGCACGAACCTGACGTCTAAAAACTGCGGTGCTCCCTCATATGTGGAGAATTATGTTGGACGGGGGGGTATGGGGGCGGGGGTTGGGAGGGATGTTATACATAAAGAATGGGGGGGTGGGTCGGGTTGGCATGGGGTTGGGTCGGGTTGGCTCGGGTTGGCATGGGGACGGGTGTGTAAAAAAAGAATCGGACAAGACTGACGGCCTCGCGTGCAGTCGAGGCTAAGACATCACCAAAGTCCGGTTATGCTCTGAGAGCAAACCTCCAAACCAGCAAGCAAGACGCGAAAAAACGGAGGGAGGGGCAGAGAGAAGAAGAGGAGGGAGAAGGAGGCGGAAGAAGAAAGGGGAGGACAGAGGAGGAAGAAGAGAGGGGAGGACAAAGGGGGATGGCAGGAGGGAGGGCGGCGGAAAGGGTGGGGAGGGAGGGAGCGGCGCCTCGAAGCAGAGGATGCACCGGGGAAGGGAGGTGGCAGCGGCCGTACACGGCAGGCAAGGGCAGCTGGCAGGGTGTGTGACGACTGCCGGCTGCTTGTTGGTCTGACGGCGCCGAGGATTGCGACAGCATGTCGCAACGGGCCAGCAAGCTCATCTTCCTCAGGAAAAAAAAACACGAGAAGTGTCCAGCAGGGGGGCAGTAATCTCGTCGTTCTCAGAGAGGCCCCTGAGGAGTTTCTGGGGATTGCAAGTTACCTGACCAAGCCAATCTCGAATGTCCAACTTACCGGGGGGGGAGCATGGGGGGGTCGGGTGGAACCCCTGTCTTCACTACTCGTCATCCACCTCCTCTTCCCCAGAAATATTATTCATGCGCCTCCCCCCTCCGGGAGGAGGGATGCGGAAGAAACTAGGAAGAAGAGGAAGTGCGGACGGAGGAACAACCGAAGATCTATGCGGAAAAAACAGGATGGCTGCGCCGCGGCCGACGCTTTTGAACATGGAGCATCAAACCACCGGCATGAAAAATTGCGATCGCACCGTCCGTGTAACAGAAGGATGGGGCCAATGACAGGGAGGGAACACGGATCGACCTAAGCAATATGTTCGTCTGGTGTTGTTTTTGTTTTCACTCGCGGTATCTGCAATTCGCAGTTGGTGCAACGGAACCGAAACGAGAACGGCCCACGGAATCGCCAAAACACCGTTTAGGCCGACCCCCGGGAAGGAGTGAGGGAGGGATGTGGAGCAGAAGCAGCTTCGAACCGACAAGCTTCCACGTGCCACGGTGCCCTCCACTATCTTTCGAACCTTTCGCCCATTCGATCGATCGCGACCGCGTAACGTCCATACTGCTGACCCTATATTGTCTCAGTTTGTCTCTCTGACAAGCTTGCGACGGCTGACATAATCAATATACAAAGCAGTTGAATCGTTACCCACAACATCTCTACCATGATTGCTTTCGACGGCAGCGCAATCACGTTTGTTCAAATTGCACAACGATGGGAACGAGGTCGAACGAAGGGAACATCGCGAGACACAGTCATTGAAATAATTGTTGGCGCGTTTACTTCATGGCGCGATGACAATTCACTCTCAAAGAATTGGAGACCCGCCTCAACAACAGCAACATCAGCAGACAGATGCACCTATTCATTTGAACACATGCGCACCATACGTTCGACCCGGCGAGCATTCAAGTTTACCTGCCATCGTACATAGCGTGAACGTGGTGCCACCGCTCAATCAGTGCCCGCCCCATCCTGCATTCACCCCGCGTCAATTTACAAATCTTTTCGATATAGAGTTATGGGAAATTTCCGCCCAAAAACTTCTGATGAAATCACACATGCACTGCTTGGGGATGCTGGGTACACCAATTCATCCGTACACGCAAATAACATTGACAACAACACGGGACTGCCGCCGACTTGCATAACTTGAGGGATCTTCGGAGTGACATCCCCGATCATTACTACAGACACGTTGTTGATGAACTTCGCCCTGTAATATCGCTAAGAGCCAAGTAGATGAACCTGGGCGCTGAAGACCTGCCCTCCACTGCGGGTGACAAAGTGATTACACGTGAAATACAAAAGACAATCTGCATGTTCGGTTTGCACCTTACGCCGAATCATTGGGATGTTGGTCACCTAACTGGCCAATCCCACGAACACATGAGAAACTCAGACATCTTAAAATGAGACTCCGTGAGCGGTCTCCCCAAACCTCCAGGCCCGCCCGTGTTTCTGATGTGCCCCATTTACTCCCCCCCATCACTTCCCTGCTCCTGTCCCCTCTTCTTGTATGGGTACGGGTGTATGCGTGTGTGTGTGTATGTGTGTAAGTGTGTGTGTGTGTGTGCGTGCGTGCGTGCGTGTGCGTGTGTATGTGTGTGTGTGTGTGTGTGTCTGTGTGTGCGTGGGTGTGTGTGCGCGTGTGTGCGCGCGTGTGTGTGTGTGTGTTTGTGTCAAAACGTGCGTTCGTGCGTTCGTGCGTCCGTGCGTGCGTGCGTTCGTGCGCGCGTGCGTACGTGTTGCGTGCGTGGTGGGCGGCTTGGGCGGGGGATTCCGCTGCGCTGCGCTGCCCCGACAGTTCGGGGAGGAGGAGAGGGTGGCGATAGAGGAGGTGGTGGAGGAGCAGAGGGCATTCCCTGCTGGCGCTCGTTTGATTTTTCTGCAACCTGCTCTGGACCGAACACTCGAAGAGGCGTGCTTCTCATGGAAGCGCTGTCGCATCATCAGTAGTTGTCTCCGAACGTACACAGCTGGAATCGAAATTAGATGATGATGGCGACTCTGATGCATCGCTCGATCGCGTTTCTGCTGTTGCACCGTCTTCTATTCCATCACCTCCAAAACCGCGAACATCTTAGGGCAGGCCTCGCACATCATGCTTGCCGTCCTCGACGATTATAATGGGCTCCTGGAGCGTGGAAGGTCTCAGAGGGGACTCGCAGGTCAAGTTTGCAGAGTTGTTTGGCACAGTGCGACAGCAACACATCGATATATCATGCATACTAGAGGCTCCATTGCATGGAAAAGGATTATTACAAACATGAAGACGGTTTTCTGTTGTGCCTGTCTGGGGAATTTGATGCAAATGAACGTCAGATGCTGGGGTTGGCTTCGTAGTTGCACCATGGGCCGAAAGATCATTAGTTGCGTTCCATGCCTCTTCTCCGAGACTCGCCTCCCTGAACATAAAAAATCGTTGGTGGAATGGTAACCCTCATCACCGCCTACGCGCCACACAATGGACATCAGGAACACGTCCCGCGAGATTTGTATGCCGACCTGGACGCGTACATCTGGCCGACAACGCCTCACAACACAACTATGATTTTGGGGGATTTCAATGCAAGACTGCTGCTTCAGAATCAAAACGCAGAACATTTAATTGGAGAGCATGTTTACCGTGGGAAGATTGCAAAAAAACACCGCTACACAGGTCTCCAATCGCCAATTGGTGCAGGAATGCTGCCACAGCAACGACATGGCAATCGCGAGTACTTTCTGAATGTACCGGAGGACGAACGTATCACTTACAGGGATTTTGGAGTGGCTCCGATGGACCCTATCTGTCCTAAGCGGTTTTCACAAATCGACCACTTCTTATTCAATTCTTAGTTTGCCATGGGTTCTGGGTTGCAGATCGGATCGAGGAGCGGCCCTAAACAGCCACCATTTCCTGACCACGGCGAATATGGAATTTCAATTTCAGAAATGTCATGAAGCCCGCCTGCCGCGCTTAGACGTTTCATCTTCGCGGGAGCCTGGCGTGCAACGGGATTCCGTCTCTAAGTTTACGCTGGCTTGGGGCGATGCTGTTTTGGGGGACTCTCTGGATGACGTGGCCGGGGCGGTGGAGCAGGCTTTCTCATCCGCTGCATGTTCTTTGAAGCCAAGGCATACCGCAGCAGAACACCCATGGATATCTCAACATACTTTAGACTGAATCGAAAAAGAAACACATGCCGAAGAAAGGGCGTTGCATCGATGAACTGGCGTTGTGTAAGGGAATCCTACCAGCTGCACGAGAAGACTGGACACATTGGATCAACACCGCATTGGTTGGGGGACATTGGAGCGCCGTCAGACAAGTGAGGAACAGAACGGCAAAAAAAAACGCTCGAGTCAATTATATTGCAGGACAATTGTCGGACACAACACTCGACCAGACGCTATCAGAAAATTTCGAACAAGTCCATTTGCATGTACGTTTTCTGGGGGTGCCCCCAGAAACAACAACGAAGATGGGAGTCACACCCCCCGTCGACACATCAGATTTATCCTTACATGAATTACGGAACAAATTGCGAAAAATTAAGCATGGAAAAGCGGCAGGGCCCGACGATATACCGCAAAACTTTTGGAAAAGATTTGCCATCAACGACGGTGCGTGCGCAGCCTTGCAACACGTGTGTCAGAAGTGTTGGGAAGTTAAAGACGTCCCAACGAGGTGGAGGAGAGCAAATGATGTTCTATTTTTCAAGAAAGGAGACGCAACCCACCCAAGCAATTACAAGCCGATCTCGTTGTTGGCAGTGGGGTACAACACTTTGACCTCGATGATGCACCGCCGTCTTATACAAGGGGGTCAGAACGAAGAATGCGGTCATCCTTGTTTGGCTTCCGCCCTGGGCGTAGCACGGCGGACGCGCCCATGCTGATGAGACGATCTATAGACGCAGCGCATACAAACAATAACGATGGCGTTATATTACTTCTGTTGGATTGGGCTAAAGTTCTCGATCGTTTGAAGCCAAACTGTCTCTGCAAAACGTTGGAAAAAATTGGCCTGACAGCTCCTATGTTGCACATGATACGGGGCATGTTTTCTGGAACGCACTTCACTATAACTGACCATAGCGGGCTATCGTCGGAACGCAGACAGTTTGCAGGAATTGCGCAAGGATGCCCATTATCACCATGTCTTTTCATTGCAGTACAGACAATAATGTTGCACGACGTATTCGAAAACCTGCCTCTCCAGGAAGAGCCCGCCGATGTCATGACAAGGGACATCCTGTATGCTGACGACACGCTGGTGCTCTCAAAACGAAATGGGGAATCTACGAATGAGATTGGACGCAATTATTTTAAAGGGACAGGGGTGTGGTTTGGAATTGGAGTGGGGCAAAACATTGCAAATTCGAATCCCCACTTCGGGCGTGGTGCAGCAGCCAACGGGGGATCCGATCAAAACAACGAGAGAAGTAATTTACGTTGAAAGCTTGATGTATTGCGATGATCGCGCCGGAAATGAATTATCTCGAAGGCTTGGGGAATCGGGTGCCATGTTTCGCGGTTTGAGCAACATCTGGGCGCGCAAATACCACGTGATTCATCCATCTTGGACGCCCGAGTTATCCGGGGTAACTCGGGTCCAGGGTGACTCGGGTTCGGGCTCTCGAAAAACGAACCCGAGTCAGCCCTGACCCGAGTTACCCCTGATGATTCGGGGCTCTGGACGCCCGAAATATACGGGGTAACTCGGGTCCAGGATAACTCGGGTTCGGGCTCTCGAAAAACGAACCCGAGTTAGCCCTGACCCTAACAACCCCTGATGATTCGGGGCTCTTACCATCCTCGTCGTCATCCTTCATCTTCATCACGGCGCCGGCATCTGGCCGTGCTCTCTCGCCCGCCGCCGCTCTCAACAGCGCTTGGCTGTCCGCTTGCCCTGCCCACGCGCCCACTCGGATGCGAGCCCACGGTCTGTCTGGACGCCGCGCTTCCCATCGCAAAACCATCGAGGCGAGCAAGGTGCTTCTTGGCATGGGCCCCCGCTGCACCCCCCCCGACTGAGCAGGGACCGACCGCAATCCTATAGTCCTACCACGACATGTTCTTCGAACCAGAATATGTTCCAATAACAACCACACTGTTCCTAGAACATAAAAAGCCCGATGTGCTGAAACGAGACAGCCCCAGCCAGAGCTGTTCCGAGACCATTCCGTGGAAACCATAAGAAAGGTTCCTAGGACATCGCTTGGTAGACCAATAATTAAGTCGGGCGTGTCCCCCTACAGGGGAATTTTCGACAAAAAACAAAAATACACCAAAAATACCCCAGACAGGTCAAACAATACAAAAACAAATAGTCCCCAGACTACTTTTGGACTATTTTTGGACGATTTTTTGAGGCATAGTTTTGGATTCTTTTCGTCCAAAATCCCCCTGTAGGGGGACAGGCCCGACTGAAACCTATAGGCACGCCAAGACGCTCCGCCGCTGCTCGACCCGAGCCGCCGACCCCGCTCGGCGCGCGGCCTGTCGGCCAGAACCGCTCCGCCTCCCCCGGCGGCAGCACGGCCTGCGCAGGCGGGGCCCTCCCTCTCTATCGCAGCGGGCCCGCGGCCCCCGCGCTCGTGCTCGCCGGCCCGCGGTCGCCACCAGCCTCGATGCCCTCCTCCTCCTCCTCCTCCTCCTCCTCCTCCTCCTCCTCCTCCTCCTCCTCCTCCCCCTCTTCCTCCGTCTCCTCCTCCTTCTCCTCCTCCTCCTCTTCCTCCTCGTCCTCCTCCTCCTCCTCCTCCTTCTCGTCCGCCTCCTCCTCCTCCGTCTCCCGCTCCTCCTCCTCGCATCATCACCCCCATCAGCCTCCTCATACGCTCCATCATCGTCATGCTGCGCCCGATGTGGATGTTGTTTCTGACTTGTCACCTCCTACTGACATGACCTTGCCCCTTGTCAATATACTCGGCCTCCTCATGTTGCTACAACTCCTTCTCCTCCCCATTAGCATGATCTTCTCCGCAAACACCACTCCCGTCTCCTAATCATCCGGCCCTCACTCCTCCACCACCGCCTCCGCATCCTTCTTCTCCACTCTTCTGTTCCTCATATTCCGCCTTATCATCCCCCTCTGTTTCCCCTCTCCCTCCACTCTCTCCTCCACTACCCCATCACTATGCCTTCCTCCTGACCTCCTCCGACATCGCCCTCCTCCTCCTCCTCCTCCTCAATAATCCTCACCCTTCCTTCTCATCATTCTCACTCATGCTCCTTCCTCGTACTAACCTGCCCTCCCTCACCCTCTTCCAAGACAGCTTCACCCTTCTTCTCATCATTGCCCTTACTCTCGCCGGTCTCGCAGGCGTTCCCAAGCCGTCCTCCTCCTCTTCCTCCTCCTCCTACTCCTCTCCGCCTCCAACTCCTCCTCCTCCTCCTCCTCCTCCTCCCCTCCTCCTCTCCTCCTCCTCCTCCTCCTCCTCCTCCTCCTCCTCCTCCTCCTCCTCCTCCTCCTCCTCCTCCTCCTCCTCCTCCTCCTCCTCCTCCCTCCTCCTCCTCCTCCTCCTCCTCCTCCTCCTCCTCCTCCTCCTCCTCCTCCTCCTCCTCCTCCTCCTCCTCCTCCTCCTCCTCCTCCTCCTCCTCCTCCTCCTCCTCCTCCTCCTCCTCTCCTCCTCCTCCTCCTCCTCCTCCTCCTCCTCCTCCTCCTCCCTCCTCCTCCTCCTCCTCCTCCTCCTCCTCCTCCTCCTCCTCCTCCTCCTCCTCCTCCTCCTCCTCCTCCCTCCTCCTCCTCCTCGTCCTCCTCCCGGCGGCGCCGTGTCCTCATCCTCAGCGAGAGCTCCGAAGACCGAGATCTCGTCCAGCATGGACCCGCGGTGGCGGCAGCTCCCGGCCACCTGGGCGGGCGCACGAGGGCCCCCGCCGCGCCCGCGGCCCCCCCCCCCCCCCCCCGCACAGCCCTGGGGAATGAGGGAGAGGGCCTCAACCTCCACCTCGCTGGGCCCGCCTAACCTCCCTGCCCCCCTCCGTCTCCTCTCCGCCCTCAGTCCTCCTCTCCGCTGGTCCTTCGTCCGCGATGTCCCCCCTCGTCCTCCTCCTCCTCCTTCTCCCCCCCCCCCCCCTCCTCCTCCTCCTCCTCCTCCTCCTCCTCCTCCTCCTCCTCCTCCTCCTCAGACTCACTCTCCTCATCCTGTTCCTGTTCCTCCTCCTCCTCCTCCTCCTCGCCCGCCTCCTCCCAGGCCTCGTCCCCTCCCCGCTTCCTGCGCCCAGGCCAGCATGGCGCAGCCCGCAAGCGGCGCCCTGGAGCACTGAAGCCCGCAAGCAAAACCTCTTCCTTCCTCCTCCCCCTCCTCCTCCTCCTCCTCCTCCTCCTCCTCCTCCTCCTCCTCCCCTCCTCCTCCTCCTCCTCCTTCCACTCCGCCTCCTCCTCCTCCTCCTCCTCCTCCTCCTCCTCCACCTCCAACTCCTCCTCCTCGTCCGCATCCCCCAAATCCTCGCACCTCCCCCGCCTCACTTCGCCCAGGCCGGCATGGCGCAGCCCGCACGCGGCGCCCTGGAAAACTGAAAGCCCGCGAGCAAAACCTCCTACCGCAGGGGGGTGAGCCGCGATGCCAAGGCCACTTGCCACGAGGTGCGCCAACACCCGCCCCGCCCCCTCCCCGCGGTTAGGGTCTGCGGGGATGGTCCCGGGCCCCATGGTAAGAGGAGGGGGAGGAGGAGAAAGAGGAGAAGGAGGAGGAGGAGGAGGTGGAGGCGAGTGGGCCCTCGCCGTGCAGGACGAGGAGGAGGAGGAGAAGGAGGAGGAGGAGGAGGAGGAGGAGGAGGGAGGATAGAGGAGGCGGAGGAGGGGGAGAAGAAGGATGAGCAGGACGATGGTGATAGAGGATAGAGGAGGAGGAGAAAAAAGGAGGCGGAGGAGGAGGAGGAGCAGGAGGAGGAAGATAGAGGAGGAGGAGGAGGAGAAACAGAAGGAGCAGGAACATATCCGAAAGAGAGCTTGCCCCGCCACGGGGCCACGAGCGACGCGGGCCGCCGAGCTTCGCGGCGCTGGCGAGCCTCCTCAGTGTGGGAGGCGATGCGGGCGAGCTGGGCCGCACTGAAACAGAAAAAGCTGAAGGAAAGGGGACCAGGAGGGTCTGCTTGGGCAAGGGCCGCTGTTGAGGGGCATGTTCGAAGCCCTCCTCCCGCCCCGTGGCCACCTCGCCGTTCCTTTCCTCTGCCGCCCTTGAATTGCCGCAGATCAATTCGCCCTTTCCTTTGCCGGCACCGCTCGAGCGCGCGTGCGGACTGCATCCGCCGGGCTGCGACGTAAAAAGCTCGTGGCCCCCAGGACTAGCCAAAAGGGTCCAAAACGATCCTTCCTCCTCCTCCCCCTCCTTCTCCTCGCCCTAGTCCTGCTTCGGGCGGGCGTTACACTCAAGCGGGCAAGCGTTCATGCAGACAGACGGTCGCGTCGGGCGGGCGGACCCTAACTCTAACTGGCGGACCCTGACTGGCGAAGGGGGGGAGGAAAGAGGAAGCCAGGCGCCCCGCAGGAGGGGATCCGTTTTGTTGACAGCCCGAAAGCCTGGGGGGGGCCCCGAAGCCCGCAAGCGGCAAGACCCCCCCCGGAGTTATGTTATCCTCTCTGCCGACCACAACGACAGGCCTCCCGTCGTGTGTTTTCGTCCTGCCTCGAGGGGGGTCCGCCAGGAGAGGCGCGAACAAGGCGTGGCCAAGAGACGTGCCGCCGGCGCCCCGGAGGTGGCAACTCTTCAGGAGAGGCAAAAGTACCACTACCACCAGCCAGGGGGGGGGGGGCCGCTCCCTCCCCTCGAGCTGGTGGCACCTCCTTCCGGGAACTCTCTGGAGGCATGCCCGAAACGAGGTGCCGCCAGCACGAGGGGGAGGAGCGGGCCACCCCCCTGGCTGGTGGTAGTGGTAATTCTGATTTTGGTGAACTCTGGGGAGCCTCCCACGCCTTCTTTCTGGCTCGACGAGGTCGGCGCTGACCGACGCTGCTCGATGCCGTTCGACGCCAGCTCGTCGCTTCCCCGTCGATTACCAGACGCCCCGGAATTGGCGCGAACGCACTCTGAAGACGGAGCTGCGAAAGTACTCGAGGCTCCCATGCTTTGCTGCCGAACGCCCCACATCGCAGACTTGCTGACCCGTTTCAATGCGGACCCAGGTCAGTCGGGCTTTTCGGGATCCTGCAGGATCCTGTGCAATTCTGCTTGGTCACTGCAGGATCCTGCGCGCAAGCCCAGGTCAGTGCACCCCTGGAGCTGCAGGAACCTGCATGATCTGGCGGCCTGGAGAACCCCTGTTTGCATTGAACCCCGTCAGCAAAGTCCGACCGTCCCGGCAGTCCCATTGGACTACCAGGGAATGTTCTTCGAATCAAAGAATGTTCCACAACAAAACGAGGTGCACTCATAGCATGAAGCCTGTGTGCTGCACCAACCCCCGTTTGCCTTGATAAGGGCCTCCTGGATGGGGTCCGGGTGAGCAGATGGGGTCGGCGGACCGTGCCGCATCGCCACTGCATCGGCGACGTCGGCAATGCATCGGCGCCAGCGGCGTGAAGACATTGCGGCTCCACATCGAGTCGCATCGCCGATAATTCGCCGATGCATCGGGGATCAAGCGCGATCCTCCGACCCCATCTGCTCCGGCCCCATCTGGGCGGCCTGGAGCTTACCCCCGTCACACAAGGCCTCCTGCACACTGGGCGACGTCGAGCCCGGGCGGGGAAGTGAGAAAGGGAGTTGCCTTCTCAGAGGGCTCGGAAGTCCCCCGGCCTCCTGAGGAGCCATCTGCGACTCCCCCGAAGGCCGAAGGGCTTGTGAGAAGCCCCGCCGCGTTCTGAGAAGGCGCTTTCTTCTCCTAAGATTCAGCGCAGCAAGAAAATGCAACATCATAGAAACTTGCAAGCACCATGCCCGGACGCAGTTACGCAAGAGGACCCGAAGAGGCCAACTCGTTGATTGCCCTTGCGTGTTGGACGGGCTGTGGCATCCTCGCCATCTCGGGCATCCGTCGGCTCCTCCGTCGGCTCCAGCGGGACTGATGTGTGAAGAGATACCACGAGAACGAGAGAGAAAGAGAAAAACAAAAAAGAGAGAGAAAGAGAGGGGGACGGGAGGAGGAGGAGGAGGAGGAGGAGGAGGAAGAAAGAGAGAGGGGGTGCCCACCGACGGCCGCCAACCGAAATCGGCCGGCTAGGTTCGCCAATACTCTCTTGAGGGGGCGCCCACCGAGAGCCGCTCGCCGAGAGCCGCCCACCGGAATCGGCCCGCTACCTTCGCCAATCGCTTCTATGTCCGCTGGGACACCTTTTGTGCAAGCACGGATTGGGGAATCGCGCCCAGAGCCCCAGAGCCAATATTTTTGCGATATATTCTGCCCAGCCCGATCGAGCTGTGAGGGCGCCTGGGCCCGAACAAAAAACCGCAAACGACCGGCTCGAAAAAATTGAGACACCAAGATCTTAGGGTTCTCGCTTACCCCCCCCTGCCATCGCTCGGACGTCCATTCCCTGTTTTTTGTTCGGTTTCGTGCGTGTTTTTTCGCCAAATGATCAAGGATGCTCCTCGATGGTCCTCGACGAAGGAACAATGCACACGTCCGATCGATGCCAAGCCCCAGGGCGGGCCGCCGAATGTTCGTCAAAATCATTCCCCAGACCGCTCCCAGGGCCCATCCGACGTGGTTCTTCACCCCGGATCTGATTCCGGCGGCCCCGGGTGCCCGAAGACGGCCCCCCAGGGGCTGGAAGCTATGGGACACCGCCCCGAACCCCGAACCTCGAAGTTCACACCTCCAGATGCTCCTCCTCCCTCGCCGCCCCACTTCCCCCCCTCGCGCGCCGCCAAGCCCATACACACCGTAGGGGTCCCGCGGCCCGACAACGGCCCCAAGGTGCCGAAAACGATGAGAAACCGCCTCGAACTTCTAGAGGCCTCGTCGATAGGGTCCGAGTAGATGGGGTCGGAGAATCTCGCCGCATCGCCGGTACATCGGCGGTTGCATCGCCAATGCACCGGCGGTGCATCGGCCATGCACTGGCGATGCATCGGCGACAGCGGCGTGGAGAAAATTGGGCCCGGCATCGAGCCGCATCGTCGATGCATCGGCAATGCGGCGCGATCCTCCGACCCCGTCTGCTCCGACCCCATCTAGGAGGCCTAGAACCTCGAAAGTCGAATCCTGAAAATCCCCCCCCCTGCGCTCGCCGCCGATCCCGTGGGAGTCCCGAAACGGGGTGCGGTGACAGACCGTGCGGTGACCTCGAAATCCCGCAAGACCTCACCGCGCGGTCCGTCACCGCACGGTCTTGGGACCTCGGAGGCCCCTGTCGCCCGAGACGCCCCCGGAGAACGACCCGAGTCCCAAAACCGCGCGGTGACTCCGCATCCCCGCCGACTCACCGCACGGAACGGTCACCACCCCGTTTGGGGGGCCCCCGAGTTTTGTTGGCCTCCGGGGAAGCGGGCTCGGGCCGGGGGGCCGGGGGGCCGGCGAAAAGCTCAGGTCGGGCGTGTCCCCCCACAGGCGGATTCTTGAAGGGAAAATGGAAAAAAAGAAGATGCTCAACAAAAGTGCTGATAGAATCGTCGAGGGCGGCCGGGGCGGCCGGGGCGGCCGGGGCCGCCTGGTGCGGGCCGCAGGGCGCGTCCGCGGGCGCCGCCTGCGGGCGCGCTCTCGTATGGGCGCGAGCCGCGGCGGGCGGCCGAGCCGCCCGCCGGGGGAGGCCTCCTTGGCCGGGCGACCTACGGCGGGCTCCAGAAGTGCAAGCAGCGGCGACGCGTCCTGGCGCGCCGAGAGCCCTACCAAGCAATGCTCCAAGGGCCCCTTGTGGTTTCCACAACATGCTCTCAGAACACTTCTGGCTGGGACTGCCCTGTCAGCTCCCGCTCCCTTCCCTCCTCATTTTTATTGGCGAGGCACCGAAGCTTCGACTGCCGGGACGGTCGGTCCCTGCTCAAAAAGTAAAGGCCTCCTGGATGGGGTCGGGGTGGATGCATCGCCGATGCATCGCCAATGCATTGCAGATCGGCGACGCATCGGCGCCGCATCGGCGCTGCATCGCCGACGCGGGCGATGCATCGGCGACGTCGGCGTGAGGCAAGTCGGGCTCCATTTGAATTGTCGGGTACAGGGGCATCACCGTGTCCCTCGGTGCTTCCGCGTCGCAGAGCTCAACCTGGAACGTCTTCGCTGGCGTGGCTGGCGCGCCATCGCTGCCTGAACCTATCGCAATGATCAGACCACCTCGACCCAACCCGAAAACCCAAATTTTCGCGGGCGAACCCACGACTTCTCAATGAAAAATGAAGCCGCTCAACGAGGGAAACCTTGGGATATACCCCAAGGGGGCCATTCGGACGCACCGCTATCGAGGATGGACCCCCGGCCATTGTACATCCCAGGGTTGGGCCCAAAATCCCTGGTCCATTGGAAACCTCCCAAAACCCGGGATAGGGGACTACACATCCCCAGATAAATGTCGGTTTGGGTTTACGGGTCACACACGTGTTTTTCACTGTTCCCCGACGCCCCCCCCCCCACTTGGAATGGAAGGCAAATGGGGGCCTTCGAGTTGGATTGGGGTGGTTTGGTTGGTGATTACCCTGGCAAGTCGAGGGCCCCCAAGCCCAATGGTCGAACGTACCGAGAAAAACAAAACGGAAACTTCACGCAATTGTCAGCCTGTGCGGGGCCCTTGCCAGGCCCCGAGGCCGTCAAGAAACGGCTCGGGACGAAGAACCAGTCCTGCTGACTGGGTCGAGACTTCTGGGGACCCCTTATTGAAAAAGCCACGACATCGGATCTTTGCGAATGAGAGGGTGTTCTCGGCGACGCGCTCGGGGGGAAGTGGGAAGGAGGAGACATGATCAGAAGGCAGCGAGGCTTCTCAGAAACCCTCCAGCCTTCTGAGAAGTTGTCTGTGCATTTGGGGAAGGCTTGGACAACTTCTCAGGAGGCAGTTGGACTTCCGAGCCTTCTGAATATGCCCGCCCCCTCTCAGCCCCCCTCCACGAGCTGCGAACATGTTCGTATCCACGCCTTTGAGCCTTGTGCTCTGGACTCTTGGGTGCGATCCCGCGGATACGCGGTCGCACGGATACGCTCCTAGGGGGGCATCTGGAACAAGCAAAAACGGCACGTGTCCGCTGGCTCGAAGCCAGGGAGCCTAGCCCGCGTGGCCGCGGACAAGGGTACGTTTTTCGCCTACGATGTGTAGTGTCCACACCGCGTGGTGAGTCAGTCGGGGTTCGAAACCACCTCACGGTGTTGGGTCTGGGATTGCGCTCCAGGCAAGCCTCGGAAGACCAGGGCCTCCGAAGTCCCACGACCGTGCGATGACGGGCTGCGCGGTGGGGTCACCGCACAGTCCGTCACCAAACGGTATGGTGAACCCCAAGTACGACGAAACCAGCATGGGAACAAAGATCGAACTGGGCCGAAGCGGGGAACTCTGAGACCCGGCGGCCCTGGAGTCTGGCGGACGCACCTTGAATGGAACAGCCCTGGAGGCCTCGCGCGGCAACTTGGGACCCACCTTGCTCGGGTCGGGCGAAACGGGGGGATAGCAAAGGGGGGGTTTGAGAATCAGCTCACGTAGCTGATTCTCCCGGCGCCTCCCGGCGCCGGAGGCGGCCATGTATCGAGGAAGGGGCCCCTCGGCGAGGCCGAAACCAGCTGCATGCAGCAGATTTCGTACCCCCCCCCTTCCCAATCCCCCCCTTTCGTCCGGCCCGACTTGCGTCGGATTCGCCTCGGATTTACGTCGGGCTCACGTCGCATTTACGTTGGACTTCCAGGCCGCCGGAGCATCGCCGCGCGAACGCTGCCCCACACCTTGGCGGTCGGGCGTGCGGGCGCCGCGCGAGGCCTCCCGAGTGCGAAGACACAGCTCAGTAGCAACCGAACTATAAACAGCTGTTTGCTCCCAGCGGGGCGTCTGGACAGCTGGGCGGGCCCACAGGTGGGCTCGACATCATAGTCGACAGTAGGGTGCCGTCCATTTGGGAGAAGGGTCGCGATTGCAACAGAGGGAGCGGTGAATGCCAAAAGGCTTCAACACTCATGACGACCCTTAAACACAAAGGCAACTATCAGCCTAAATGAGCAACAAGACCACGCTTTCAGCCAGATAAGCCAACATGACACGTAAACGACGAGAAAGACGGTAATCATCATCATCACCACCATCATCAACACCATCATCACCATCGCCATCGCCATTACCATAATCATCATCATCATCATCAGTATCATCATCATCATCACCATTATCATCATCATTACCATCACCATTATCATCACCCTCCCACCTCCAGCATCCTCACCATCCTTATCATCGCTCCCTTCGTCCTCTCACTCGCTCGGCCCCCCCCCCCGCCCCCCATCGGCACGGGAGGGCGCCTGCGCGATGAATACCATGTCGGCGTACGGCCGCCTCCTTCCTCCCTCCTCTCCTCCCTCCTCTCTCCTCACTCCTCTGTCCTCCCTCCTCCCCCTCCCTACTCCCTACTCCCTCTTTCCCTTCTCTCCTCTCCTCCCTCCTCTCTCCTTTTTCTCTTCCCAGCTACCTCCTCTCCTCTCTCACCCCTCCCCCTGTCCCTCCCTCCACCTCCCTCCTCTCGTCACTCTTGTACGCTAAACCGTACTTGAACTTGATTACCTGAAGCTTGTGTTTCTCTCCTCCTCTCTTTGTTATTCTCCCTCCCCCCCATCATCATCCCCCGTCCTCATTCCTCCCATCAGCCTCCCTTCACATCAGTCCCTCCACCTCTTTCCTCACTCATCAATCCTCCTCTCCTTCCTCTATCCTCCGATGCTTTGTTTACCTGCACCTCCGCAAAACGTTTCAAGTTCAAACTCTCTGAGCTGCCCGGCGCGCGCTGCGCACGACTCAATCACGAGTACCGTGTACTCGTGCGTACCCCATTTCTCGGTTCTCCGTGGTGCGACCCCCGATCATTGCAACACGGACTCCATAAATTGACTGAACTTCGTCGCCCTGGCCTTCCACATGGGCACCGCCGCAGAGCCCTTCATGTGGTCATCGTTGAAGGCCTCGATCGTCTTCAGTACATCCGTGCCGCACCTCTTGGCCTCCGTCACCGAGAGCTTCGCCAAACACCAAGCGTGGCCCCATTCCGTCGTTTTCTTAGGCTCGTAGAACACTGGCATCGCGACCCAACCCCACGGCACACTCAAGATCCCTTTCGGCGGAACCACCACCCACTCGGAGCGCTCGAAAAACTTGACGCCGTCGTCCGTCTCAAGGAACTTCGCGGCGTTCGGCATCGCGATACCGTCCTCGAGCAGGCTCTCGATCTTGAAGAGGCCCACGTACATCTGGCTCTCCCAATTCTTCATGACGAAGCCTACGCCAGGAAGAGGAACTGCAGCTGCACCAAACCTGAACGCGTTGAACCTAGCTGCGAACATCCAGGGGTCCGCACCACCATCTGCATCAAGAGTCATGTCATTCGGGAGGGGCGCGAAGTCGAACGTCTGCAACGAGCTCTGGATGCGGCCAATGGCCCCTGGCGCCTTCGCCTCCCTGAGCATGAGGTTGTCCATGGTCGTGATCTTGGCCTCCATCTTCGTGGCCGACTCCGCCATGAACTGGTTGACCATCTTCTCGATTGTTGTACCCGCGCTGCAGAAGATCTGGATGGTGCCCCCACTGTACTCCGCCTCGTCGCCCTCGGGGGCAGCAACTCCCAGCGCGTGGTTGGTCAGCTTATTCTCCGCCAGCGGGTAGCCGCGGATGTTTCTCGCAACCGCGATCCCCAGCTTCTTCTTGAAGCCACCCGAGATCAGGGAGTTCGCAACCTGCGGAGGGCGAGAAACAAGAACCAAGACAACCAGCAAAGTCGAGATCCGAGGATCCAGGATCGGATCCATCTTGGCAGGATCCGAGACGGACCCCTTTGGGCGGGGCCCGTCCTGGGCTGGCCCCAAAACGGGGGCGTCTTGGATCCTGCCAAGATGGACCCATCTTGGACTCGGGTTTCCCTTCCCGCATTGGCTCCGACCCCCAAGGCTATCCAACAGAGCCCCTTCCAGGCCCGCTAAGAGGAACCTGTCTTGAGTCCAACCACGAAAGGCCCGCCTTGGGCCCACCAAGATGGCCCCATCTTCAACCGATGGGGCCCGTCGTCCCCCCCCCTCAGCCGGCCCCGCCAAGAGGGGCCCGTCTCGGGTCCCAGCGCGAGGGGCCCGCCCTGGGCCCCTCAAAGAGGGACCCAACACATATGTTTAAGCCTGGTGCGTTTCGGCCTCAGGCTCACCTTCATGATCTGGTGGTGCTCGGCCTGGTAGACCTTGCGCTCCTGGACCTTCCTGTCCTTGAATACGAAGTCCATGGCCTCGTAGTGGTCCTTGCAGGCCCTCTTGGCGATCTCCAGCTGCTCGATGGCGACCTCGGCGGACCTCTCGAGCGACGCCAAGTTCTCCACAGTCGAATGGTTCACCTCACCTTTCTTCTCCTTCAGGATCTCCGTCTGGTCGTCGGCCTTCTTGGCGATCGCATCGGTATTGGTGGGCAGCTGGTGCTTGGCATCGAGACTGGCCAGCTTCTCCGACATGGTAGTCATCTTCGTCTTCTCGCCTGCGGCGCCATTCAAGGTGTTCAGCGCACCCTCGATCTTCCGCGACAGGATCGATTGC